GACAAAGTCCTCCCGTGCCAGCCGGCCAAAAGTGGACACACAGAGCAGGTGCACACAGCAGAGGTTGTGTACGAACAATCCTTCAGTCTCGTTGGTCCCCAAATGATTGGCTGGCCTGGGGTGGGGGCACCCCAGAGGCCTGGGGAGAGAGCGCTGTTGGGGGCAGTGATTCTGCACTGATTCTTTGCCTGGTTGTTCCTCTTCCCCATGAGACTTTCAACCATCTAGGGTGGAGCAACATGTGTGATTCCTACAAAATTAATTAATTCCCATACTCAGCACGTTTCCTGAACTCTCACTATGCTCCAGTCACTAAACAAGTTCTTGCACCCTTACACTTGTTTTCCAGTGGAGGGAGGAGGTGGTAGATGAGCAACAAACTGGTAAGCAAGCAAATGAAGCACAAACAGAATTTCAGGGTGCGATAAAGGCCACACTGACGACGTCCCCGGTGTGTTGGTGAAGAATCATGGGGAAGTCGGGGCTACACCCCATTGGGTGTCAGGGAAGTCACTTTTTTTTTATTGATTTCAGAAAGGAAGGGAAAGGGAGAGAGAGAGAGAATCATTGATCAGCTGCCTCCTGCACGGCCCCCGCTGGGGATAGAGCCTGCAACCCGGGCATGTGCCCTTGACCGGAATCGAACCCGGGACCCTTCAGTCCGCAGGCTGATGTTCTATCCACTGAGCCAAACCGGCTAGGGCAGGGAAGGTCACTTTTGAAGAAGGTGATTTGCACTGAGATCCCAAGAAGGGCGGCACTGTAAATAACACAGGAATGAGCATTCCACATAGACGAGATGTCCAGTGCCAAGACTCTTAGAAGGGAAACAGGCTTTGCCCATTCAAAGAACAGACTGTTCTTCAGGCCCCTGGGCCTCTCAAGCTTGGTGAGCAAAGGGGAGACCAAGTCCTAGAGGCAGCGTAAAAGCCCGAGGCTAACTCTGAGCACAGTAGGGAAGAACCAAATGCCAAATGTGGGGTGTAATACTGTATCTTCCTAAAGAGAGACTTCATCACTTCATCATATTTCCCAAGACCTATCATCCCTCCTCCCCCAAAGTGGATAGCACCTAATCCAGAGAACAGCTTAGGAAAACAGCACCCACAATCGCCTAGAGAAGGGAAGTGGAACTTGGGACATTATCTGTGAAGTCTTAGGGAGGAGGTGGCCTAAAGTGTCCCTAGACTGTGGGAGAAACATACACAGAAAGGTGAGGAGAAATGGGAAGCGAGGGGAAAGTTGGGGTTCTCATGCCAGAACCAAGTCCGCAAACAACTGGACAATGCATTAGAGCAGTGGTCGGCAAACTCATTAGCCAACAGAGCCAAATATCAACAGCACAACGATTGAAATTTCTTCTGAGAGTCAAATTTTTTAAACTTAAACTATATAGGTAGGTACATTGTTATTAACTTAATTAGGGTACTCCTAAGCTGGCCTTTGCTAAAAACGTCCTCAATCTGATTGAGGTACCTTCGCTGAGGTTGACCCCTTCCAACTCTCCCATCCACACTCGTCTTGTATACTTGTTTCATCTATCTCAGTGGTTGGCAAACTCATTAGTCAACAGAGCCAAATATCAACAGTACTTCTTCAAAATAGACTGGCCCAGGCCAAAAACCTACTTCTGCGCATGGGCCACGAAGTTTCAATTGCACTGTACATGCGCGCCCGCACGTGGTATTTTGTGGAAGAGCCACACGCAAGGGGCCAAAGAGCCGCATGTGGCTCTGGAGCTGCAGTTTGACCACTGCATTAGAGGTATTTGAAAATCACAAGGGCTCTTCCCTCTCGTTGATACAAATATGCCTAAAAGCGCTCCTAAATCGAAGCATGACATCAGGAGGTCTAAAACCCCCTAAGGCTCTGCCTCCAAATTCCCCAAACCCGCCTCCAAGTGCCGTTCCCCCTCTTGGAGATTCCCTCTTCCTTTCCCCGAGTAATTACAGGAAAGATAAAAGCTAACATGCCTTTCTGCGGAACTTATTTTTAAACGCCCTTCCTGCCCAAACCACAGAGACGATGTGCAGAGATGATTTAGAAGGACTTGAACTTGTTAATTAACCTAAACAGTCACATTCATCTGCAAGATGCATTGTTAATTAAAACTGCGATTCTCCGTGTGCCCAGACTGAGGGCTGCTGATGTCAGAATAATTAGATCGTCTGTAATGGTTTTCTTGCAAATCCCTGGCAATTAGAGTTGGCGATGAATTGGGTTTAAAATCCCAGTGAAGTTTTCAATTAGGATTCCTCTGAGGGTGGCTTCGGAAGGAAGGTGATGGTGAGGCCGGGAGGCTGGGGGGTGAAAGGAAAAGGGGGAGGCAAAGGGGGTGAGGACAAGCTCCTTGTTTTCCTAAATCCTCTGGGAAGGGCCTGGGCTGGGGATAAATGAACAGTGGGCACCAATGTGATCTCCAACCTTCCCTTGAAAACAAGTCTCTCCCCTTAAAGACGCAAACACAGGTCGACCGTCCTCCGGGGCCTTGTGTGCCCCCAGGAGCCTGCTGCCTGGGTTTCATCTCTCCGAGAGGATTTTTCTTTAGTCGGGAGGCCCAGTAACTCTCATACAGCTGACGTCCCTGCCAACCCTGAGATTAAAGGCTTAAGGGTTCTAAGAAAACAGGATCTGTGTTCCTGAAGGGTTGCATAAAAGATTCGGGAGAAGGCTGAAGTGTTTGCTGGCACGCAGTGGGTTAAGTGGGCTGGGCTCCAGGACGCTGAGGGATGCCTTAGAGAAGCGCTGAGGTCAGGTCCCCTTAGACTTTCCAGACTCTCTAAAGGCAGCCGAGATGATGACACGGAGCAGCCGGGCCTGAAGGGACCAGGCAAAGCAGAGAAGCAGGTCCCTGAAGGGACCAGGCAAAGCGGGCAGGGGCAGGATGGGGAGGAGGTAACTTTAGGGAGGGGATTCTAACCAGCCCTGACCTCTGAGAAGCTGAGAGGCGGCAGGCTTTCACTTCCCGTTTTCCTTTGGAGGGATGGGAGGCTCCTGAGTCACCTGGGATTCTTGCTCGTTGGACTGAGCAAGGAGGGATTTTCACCTGGAGACCTGAACCGGGTTAGACAAGACAAGGCCAGTGGTCTTCAATGAAGTTTCCCTCGCCTGGGGTTGATACTGAGCGAGTCAGCAAGTCGAAGACACCCTCACCTTCCCCGTGTCTAGGCCATTCTACCCCGTGGGAGGGAGTTGGGCAATGTCTGTAGGACTGAGCGGGTGGTCACAGGTTGGAGGGGCAACTATGAGAGAAAGCTGAAAAGGAAATAAGAGAAAAAGAAAACACTGGAGCACACTCAGGAACGGTGTTAACGTCATTCAGGTTTGCAAGTTTTCTTCTTCACTTCCTGTCCCTTCCTTTCTCTTTCCGAATGTCTCCTGCATCTCCATCCGTCCCTACCTCCCACCTTTCCACTTAGCATGCACCCAGCAGCTGCTAACCTAGTAGCCACTAAGAGACAGGAGGTGGGGGGCTTTGGAGTGTTTGTCACCGCCCCCACCCAGGAAACTTCCCAGGGCCTCTCACGTTGTCCGTCTAGGATGCTCTAGCTCCTCTCTGCCTCTCCTGCCCGGAGTCAGGCAGTTGGTGTGGGGCAGGAGCCCGGTATAGCTCACCTTTGAAAAATGGAAAGACCACGTTTGGATTCCAATGCAAGGCACCCTCTCAAGTTTCCCCAGCTTTTAACTGAGTGAAAGAGAGGAAGAGAGAGAGAGAGAGAGAGAGAGAGAGAGAGAGAGAGAGAGAGAGAGATCTTGGGCAGAGGGTGAATTTTTAGTGGCAGTATAAGTCGTTCCCCTTATGTGGAGGGCCTCTTTCATTGCTCTTCCAATCATCACCTGAATGTGGCTGAGTCAGGGTGGAGAAAAAGCCTCCAGGACCAAGCTTAGCAGCCAGAAAATCAGGGGGACATTTAAGGAAGAGGTACCCAGGGCACAGGGACAGTGTGACAGATGGAAGAAAAGCTTTGTGTGGGGAGAAAAGCCTATTCCAAGAGCTGGGGTTTGAAAGAGGAGTTTGGGGCATTCTAAGCAGAAATGAATCAGGTCAGGCTCCTAACCCTTTAAGTTCCTCATGTTGCACCACTTCTTGATTCTTAGTTCCCTGCACACAACCTCTACAGAAAAGATGAGGCACAGAAACTGGGGTAAAGAAAACATATGTGTAGGAAGTGTGTCATAATTCCCGATTCCATGTCCTGAGAACAGGGATGGAGAGCAGAATGAAGTGGGGGGGGGGGCGCTGAGGTAGGTGAGAACACACACACACACACACACACACATACACACACACGGGTGTGTGCAATTCACACACTAACGGGAGGTAAGCAGACATGTCAACATAGTATTATATGTATGCATCTAACATGGATGTGAGTTTTAACAGATTGAGACAGGCAGGCGTACATGCTCACACACATGAGGATGAAGGTCATGCTGAGGAATCAACCTCACAAGAATGACTTCTAGGTAGTGGCTTCTAGAATTATCTTGATATGTTCCCTGGACTCTGTGAGGTTCCAGGAAGCTCCTCACCACCTTTCCCACCGCCACTCTGATCTCTAAACAAAGCCAACAGGTGTCAGGGAAACAAAAGGCACAGAGGACGACAGAACAGGCCAGCTGGGGAGGGGGAGTCGGGCTGTGGGCTCATCTCTGCTTTGCTTTCTCCAGTTTCTATTTGTCCTTCATGTGCTCTCTGTAGCAGTTTCTCTTCTTTCCTGACCTGCTACGCCATCTCTTCTGGTGTTTCAGGTTTAGCTGCTCCCCTCCTATTCCGGTCCCCTTTCTCTCCCCCCTGGGAAGAGATGGCGGTGACCTCCCACCTGGAGAAAACACCTGTGCGCCCTGAGGATGTTTGTACATCACCCACTTACTCCCCAAGCCAGGCAGAGCAGCAGCAGCCAGCAGGGCAATCTGGCGTGAAATCCATCTATCTCTGTCTCTCTCTCTATTTTCCTTCCTCTCCTCGACGTCTCCAGACAAAGTAAGAGACCACCAGCTTCATAAAAGCAGCACAGACTTTTAATTCAGGTTGGCAGGTAGGAAGGGAGCTAAGATTTTCTTCCCAGGGCGTCCGGAGGAGAGGACTGTCTTGCTGGGAGGGCCAAGGAGGGCACGGCCCTGCGAGTCGCCCGGTGGCAGAACAAGGCCAGGAGCAGGGGCACGGCCGCGCAGTGCAGGATCGCCAGCGCTTCCGCCAGGTGCAGCAGCAGGTCCAGCGCCTGCTGGGTCGGACAGGATGACAGCACCAAGAACCTGGACCTCACTAGGAAGTCCAATCCCCACAGCACTCCGTGAGGCCACCAGAAAATGAACCAGAGCCACAGCACGTCAACCCAGGGACACGGCCCCCTGCCCAAGGCCCTTTGCACCCCCTTGGCTCCCAATAAACCCAGTGGCAACAAGTCAAAGATGGCTAAACAGTTGGCAGCGTGCAGAAACTTCAAAATGCCCTGGCTGGGTGACAAGAAGCAGAATCCATTGGAGGTGTCACTGGCCAGGGTGATGGGCAGCGCCAGGAGGATGGCCAGTCCCCAAAGGCCCACCATGAGCCCCAGGATGAGGCGTGGGACCGGGCCTGCACCCAGTTTGGGACCCAGGCAGGCGTGGCAGCCTATCAGCAGAGCTTGGGCATAGGCGGAGCCATACCAGACAAAGTGGGCCAGGTGGCACACGTAGGTGTTGTGGGCACCGCGGAGCCCTGGTGCCAGGACGGGCACCACGATGCTGCAGAGGGCGCTGCCCACGGCTAACTGTGTGAGGAGCAGCTGCTGGCCAGGACAGAGCTGCCGGTGAAAGAGGGGTCTGAGCAGAGCGAAGAGGACAGCCGCACTGGTCAGGATGCCCAGGACGCTGGCGAGGACGTAGAAAGGCAGTGAGGACTCGTCCAGCAGGTTGCAGGAGCGGCAGGGGGCAGCTGCGTCCATTCCAGAGTAGTCATAGGTCTCAGTATAATTCAACTCATCGAAGTCAAAGGAAAAGCTGCTCGAACTGTTGTCAGTGGAGGAGTCCACCTGGAAGGTCCCCGGGAGGAACAAATCACACTTCTAAGTTACCCCCGCTGGTCTTCTGGGGAATGAAAAGGCGAGGGGAAGGGAGGGAAGACAGGAAGGGGAAGCCAGGGGTGGAGAACCACGGGGCCTGGAGTGGGGGAATGCAGT